AAGCTCTAATCTATTCTTAGAAACAATGATCAGTACAGACATGTAAAACTAAAAAAAATGTGCACTATATTGTATACATGTATTTACATGCAATATAAAGTATATGTGCAAATTGTAATAATTCTACTTAATAAAACTGAAAAAGAAAAAAAAGAATTGCTATGACAGTCTACATTTTAGAACGGTAACTCTAGTGGCAATACTGGAGGATAGATTGGAGAGACAGAAGTTATAAAGTCCCATTAAAGTACGCTGGCTTTGAAGTTGCATGGTAAACAAGGCGAGGGGAGATAAAAGAATCAGAAGACATTTCTGAGGTAGAGAATGCATGGAACTTATTGTCCCACTGGGCTTTCGAGGTAAGAGAGGAACTTGCATATAATACTAAAATTTCAGACTTGGGAGGCTGAACATATATGGTGGTCTCTAATTCTGATAATTGAGAAAGTAGGCTGTACAGGTCGAGAATAAGGTCCACATGGAAGGTGTATGTTGCCTGGGGAGCTTTTGGGTGTATATATGTCTAAACAGTAATTGGATAGAGGGTTGGATTCCAGCAAGAAATCCAAATTGTAGATAAAGATTTAGAAATTGTTGCGGGGAGGGAGGGTATAGCTCAGTGGTATAGCACATGCTTAGCATGCACAAAGGGTCCTGGGTTCAATCCCCAGTAACTCCTCTAAAAATAAATAAATAAAAACTTAATTACCACCCCCCCTAAACAAACAAGTTGTTGAAATAAGAGTGGTAATTGAAGTCACCTTGGGAGAGCAGGAAGAGTGATGAGAGGACATGAAAACCCAACATTTAAATGGTGGTCAGGGAAGAAGCCAGCAGGACAGAGGAAGCAAGATCAGAGGAGAACCAGAAGAGAGTAAGAGGTATCTGAGAAGCCAAGGAAGAAGTTTTGAGGACTGGGACATGGCCAACAGTATCACATACTGCAGGGTAGTCAGATATACTGAGCTGAAAAGAGACTTTGGATGTGGCAGTTAACTGAGGAGTCACGGGTGACCTCGGGGAAAGCCATTTTATTATGGATTTAGTTTAGATTTTAATGAGTTGACTGAACATGGCTTTAGAAATGGAAAACAATGTGTACAGACCAGAGGTCCTAAACTGGTATCAAGAAGCCTACTTCTTTTTCCTCCATCTATCACTCATTAAGCTCAGCTGCTTTGACTGTACAGGAATTTAAGTTGTTCAGTGTTAGAAGAGATTACCTGTACGGAGCATAAGAAAAGTAGGAGATAGAGCAACAGGGAAGATTGTTTTTCTTGTTGGACAGGAAGGAGATAAACACTGATCAAGGCAATGAATGAATGAAAGAATGGTGTGTACCAGTATCAGATGCAGGGAAATTGAGAGTGTTTGTTCCTGTCATATGGCCTCTATGCTTTTATGAAGGAGGCAAAAATCCTTGGGGGAAGAAATTGATGGTACCCTTTAGACAAAGGAGATAGATGGAGCAAGTGGTCCACGTTGCTTGTTGTTTCCTGATTTTCCCTTCATGCCTTCTTGAGCTGGAATTGAAACTGGTTTAGGCTGTTTTGGCTTCAGGGCTTGGCTTTTCTTGTACATCCTCATCTTTTATAAGAACACTTCCTATCCCATCCCCTTCCATTCAATATCCACTGGACTTGCCCTTTCTGATAGTCGTTTTCCAACCTCTCCCTCTGCAATTGCAGTCCTCCTTCTCCTGGGGTACGGTAATCGAAATTCATAAGGACCCTAAATTCATTCAGTTTCAGCAAACACTAGGCAATATGAATCTTCAAAACACCCTTCTGGAGACAATGCGTCACCTCAAAAGGGTCAAGGAAGTTTGAGGACTCTTTTGGAAGGCTAGAAGGAGGAAAATATGGGAGCAGGTGGAGCCCAATGACAGAAGCAGTTCTGACTCATGGTTTCTCTTAACCTTTGGTAAAGGGTGGTATCCTAATGAAGTCAGTCTCTGAAGTGACAAGTAGAAAGTGAGTCATTGGTGGGGCTGCCCGAATTGAAACTGGGTTGCTTGCCAGTGAGGAGTACATGAGCTATAGACTGTCCTATTGTGATGTCAGCCTGAGGTCTAATAATGTGGTCCATATGCAGTAAGTCCTTATAGAGACAACTGATTGGGATGCAGTTGCTTGTCCTTGAATATATGAAGAGTGATTGCATAATTTGCTTTGATTTTGGGGAAGTCACTTTGCCTCTCAAGTTCTTTAATTGGTAAAATTTTCACTTACCTCCCAGACTAGGTGGGAATAGGAAGACCTAGGGCTGTATCTGCTACATAGTGTGGGGGTCACAGTTGGCTTCCTCTCTGCAGCTTATTCTTTTTCCTCGTGTGCACAGATAGACAGATCTTTGTCTCTGACTACATTTAATGTTCTTACCATAATTTTTTCTTTCTCATCTACTTCTCATTAGGGTGTCTAGCAATATTTTAGTGATCATAATTAAGCTACCTTAAATCTTTTGGAATAAGGTAGAAGATAAAAAATAAGTATTTCACACCAGAACAATATAGTTTGTTTTTTTTAATTCTAAAATACATTAATAATTAATATGGAAAGGAAGACTGATATACAACGCAATTATTTATTTTACAAGGAGATTCTGTACATCAGGGAAGCATTTGAAGTACAATACATCAGGCTTTTATTTCTTCTTTACATTATGATTGTGAATTGTTACTTACATGGAAAGAGAACACAAAAAACCCACTTTATATATATTTATATAAAAACACCTGAAAAGACTTGACCCCCCAAAGTATCCTGTTTCAAAAGAACATGAATGAGATGATAATGAACTAGATTCCTTGGTGGCACATAGAAAACAGACAAGTAGCTCAGGAAATCAAATCCTGTTTCAAGCTTGGCACATTAAGGGAAAGAAAGGCAGTGAAAGAAGAGTTTGAAAAATGTCAAATGTCTGAAGGCACAGAGAATGCTGGCATAAGCCAAGCAGTCTCCAAACCAACAAGACAGAAAGGTTAGAAGTCAAGTTAGCAGTTAATGTGTGGCCACCTTATATACAGACCTCTAACAATTTGTAATTGTCACTTATCTTTCCTCAGTCACAACAAATGTTAATGAGCTTCAAGGAGATGTGGGCCCAGTGTATCTCCATAGCCATGGAGCATCTGATGTTACTGAGAAATTCAAATACCTCCCTGTTCCCCATACAAAGAGAAGATATTACCTTTTAAGGTCACTTTAGCTTTTTTGTTTTGACCTGATATTCTGATTAGTCAGCAAATCTTACATGGACATGAAAGGAGAAAAAGAGAAAAAAATCTACTGAAAGATCACACACAGAATAGGGACTGCAGTCTACGGCCATACCACCCTGAACGCACCCGATTTCGTCAGAACAGGGACTGCAGAAGGAGTCAGAAGAAATCTAAAAAATAGCCACAATTTTCTGAACATTAAAGGGAAAAATCCACATTCATCAGTTAAGTAGAAACTATTTTTTTCCTTCCACTAGTGTAGATAGGAATTAGAGGGAAATAGTAAGGCTGTATGGTTTTCAATAAAAATTCAAAGAAAGTAACTGAATCTTCTGTTTAAGGAAATCATATTAATAGATATTACAAATACAAAAAGGAGTGGGAGCTGAGCCAATGCTCAGGCACCAACTACACTGGCTACAGCTTGGAAGAGGAGGGGTGAGTGAGGTGGAAGCTGCCAGAGAGGATCAGCAGGAAGATGAGGGCTGGAGTCAGGAGGGAGAGCACAGGAGGCGAGCACATAGCACTGAGGGACAGACAGGGGCAGTGGGTCATGATCTTGTCCCTCCTTGCGTCTCCAAAGACCCTCGGGGTGATTCGGGCTGGAAGTGTGGGGGCTGACTGCACACAAATGCTCCCACAGAGTTGCTGCAACTCTGCTTTATGGAGAGAATACATCTCTTGGTTAGAAAGATTTAGGGTATCATTTAGTACAACAAAGTACAACAGCCTATAAAATTTAAGCCATGAGTCAGTTCTCTGCCAAGTTGGCTTTAACATAAAGGCCTTTCTTGGTTTCGTTTTTATATATAGAAAACATAGATGCTTTCTTATTTTTCCAACTTGGAATCTGGTTGCAGTCCAGATTGCCTGATAGGAAAAACATAAGTTCCCATCATTCCTTCAAGATACCTTAAAAAAAAAAAATCAGAATGACTTCTGCCCAAGGGAAGAACATGCGAGGTCCTGAGCTGCTCTTGGGCTGGGCTGCCGGGGGAGGACTGTATGCTGTGTTACAGGAGGTATAATGCAATATTTTCAACTGACACACCAGTGTGGTGTGAAGGCTTCCCCTGGAGGTGGGGGCCCCTTTTCCAGAAGGTTTTCCCTACCACCAGTTAGATTTGATGGCTGGAATTTAGTGTCCACACAGGTGGGTCTCAAACCAGGACAGGGCAGGTTAGGCTAACAGTGCAAACTGTGCCTCAGCACAGGCAGTCACCTTGGGGTGCAGCCAATTAAACTTGGAACCTGCAAGTGACCCAGAACATTGGTGGCTGGTGAGGGAAGACCCCTCAAGTATGCTGCAGTTCAAAAGCACTGACAAGGTGTTCAGTTTTGCCTACGGCAGCACATGAGAATCCATTCCAGTGAAATGCTACATTCATAGAAGTGCTGTTCACCCCAGAACTGTATCCCAGAGGACTCAGCTCTGGCTGCGCTGAGAAGTGCTGAAGTTCCCTCCACGTCGCTCTGGAGACTGAAGCAGCAAAGCAATCCTGTTCTGGGGGGTTGTTTAGATTCTCTCTCAAACTTCAGCTTCATGGACGGTGGTAGCTAAAACAGATGATCACCAAGAGCCGAGTTACCAGATACTGCAGACTGCTTTGCTGTAACAGTTGACCCTTAAACAACAAGGGCTAGAACTGCGTGAGTCTACTTCTACTCAGATTTTTTTCCAATAGTAAATACCACAGAGATACACGACTGAATAGGATGCATAGGAAATGGAACCACGGGTACAGAGGAACCTCATATATGGAGGGTCAGCTATGAATTACACATGAATTTTCAGCTCTGAGGGTTGTGGGTGCCTCAGCCACTGTTCACATGTCAACTGTATTATCTTAAAAGTAATGAAATGTTATTTTCTAATATTGAAAAATTGCCTCTCCTCCACTCTAATTCTACCTGCCCTTTCTGTAGCATCTCATACTCTTGACCCTCTTCCTTCTTGAAACTCTTTTTTTTTTTTTTGACTTCTGTAATACTATCTTTTCCCTAGTTTTCCCTCTTTTCAACTGTTTTTCCTCAGTATGCTTCCCTGGTTCATCTTCCTCCATCCACCCTTTAAATACAAAACACTTTTCTTGCAAATCTGAATCTTTATACCTTTTCTCCCTGGAGTCTAGGCCGAATAGTCAACTGTCTTCCAGGCAGCTCCACTGCAATGTGTCACAGGCTTGTCAAACTCAACATATATAACTGACTTTCCAGTTTATTGTCTGCCTTCCTCTTTTAGAATAAAAGCTCCTTGAGGACAGGGACTTTATATCATTCTCTGCTATATCCCAAGTACCTTGCACTGTTATCTATCATGTACTAGGTGCTGAAAAAATATTTACTGAATAAATGTCCTAAACTATTCACTTACTGACTTCATCGACCTCAAAAATCACAAGTTAGACATCTAAGAGTCATTTTGACTACTTCCTGTTGATTCATCCCTGGAATCAACAGATTGCCAAATCCTGTTGATTCTATACTTGAAATGTCTTTCAAATCTATCTTCCCTGGTCTGAGCTAGCAGCATGCTCTCTATGACTATTTTAGTTGCTTCCTAGCTGCTGTTCTCTTCATCCTTCCAAATCACCTTCCATAGTTCCACTGGGGCTTATTCCCAGATGCACAGAACTCCAGTGGTTCCAATATCCTAGCATAACGGTCAGTGCTCTTCAGAACATGACCGTAACCCATCTTGCTAGTCTCACCTTCACCACACTGCCCTCACCCCTCCTCTGCTCCAGCTCCATTTTCTGTCAGAAACAGCATGCATTTTCCTGCTCCCAAAGTCTTGTTAAAGCTGGTCCTTCTGCTTACCATGTTCCTTCCCTCCTACTTGTCCAAAAGAATCCTTTTACATACTTTAACATCCAGCCTAAACGTCACCTTCTCTATGACTTTCCTTTATTGTTGCTGACTATGGTACTTTACTACTATAAAGTGTTACTAATAACACTAAAAACAGCTAACACTGCCATAGCTAGGACATGGTGGACTTGGGATGCTAAACCTGGCAGATTTGGGACTCAGAATGACTGGGGCATTTATCATATTGATTGTACACAGGTTTTCCCAAATTAGACTACAATCTCCTTGCTAGCAAGTATGGTTTCTTATTTGAGTTCAGTGCCCCGAATGATGTTACTACTGTTCAAAGAATCTGGCTTCTCTACACATCTGAGAACTCAGTACAAACAAATTCTACAGTTAAAATAACCATTTGCCTGTACTGTGATGGAAAAATATTTAATAATATCTTACTTCCCGACTTTGTTTGTTCCTTTTTTTTTAGCGCAAACTGTAATTGTCATTATATTTTCTTTCATTTAGCCTCTCTGTATAAATGTTCCGAGAGTCATCTAGACACTTTCACTGATTCCATTTGTCTCTGGCTGAGTCTTCAGGTATGGGCTGGGTCCTCAGTCACCACAGTAATTCCAAACCAAAATGCTTCTTGGCTTGTTTCATGAAGACAGTTAATCAAAACAAAGTTGACAACTGAATTGGTAAGATCAACTTAGAAAAGACTGAAACCAGAGAGGACAGGATCTTGTCCAGCTCAGCAACAACTTCCTCATCCATAACCCGGACAGTGAGGTGCAGAGATGAGAGCACCTTTCCCCATGTCCTAGCAGGTCAAGCAAGTTATTTAACCCTTTTGAGCTTGTTTCTTTGTCAATAAAATGGGGATCTAAATACACCTGGCATCTTTGCTGCAAGGATTAAATAAGATAATATACATAAAATGCCACAGTCAGTATAGGCATGAGCTCTTAGTTCTTTCTCATCCCTTTCCCTCAATGTAGTCTTCTTGCAGTTAACCCTGCAAGTGCTGTTCTTTTCACATCACTAGAGTCCTTCCTCGCTGAATACCCTTAGTATGTCTACTTTTTGGTTAAGCTCTACTTAGCTCAGAGTATTTGGGTCTTACCGTGTAAAATGTTTGCTCTCTTCATGAACTTCCATCTCTGAGCTTTTAAATTCATTTAATTCTTTTCTTATGGCAGCCTATAGAGTAGAAACAAATGTTTCAGCATCTTCTGTCTGTTATAGCATAGCAGTGTGATTTGCCATCTAATCTCTATGGTGCTTAACTGTGTGAGTGACTGCAACCCGCAGGAGGTTGCCCAGGGGAGGCAAGAAGCCAGGTCAACACACTGAGTGAAGCTCTGAGCCCGAGGCACACCGCCTTCCCTGACACCCTTCATCTCATAATAAACTGAAAATCTCCAGTTAAATCAAAACACTTGAAGAGCTTAAAAGAAATATTATAGCTTTTATAGTTTCCACAGCATGTAAAATAGCTTTTCCTGTTATAAAAGTGAAATATGGGTAATTACTAAAATATACCATTAAAACTCCCTCCAACCAAACAGAATGACTGTTAAAAATACATATTATTTCCTTCCAGATTTTTATACTCTGTGATACAGCAGGGATTTTTTTCTCTTTCATTTTAGGTGGTGGTGGTAAAGTTATTTGTATAAAGTTTTGGTTTGTACATCTTGGTATTTTGTATCTTGATTAGACTCAGAAATGAAACTGTTTATGGTTCCCCATTCTAGTTAGTCTTGTATGCTTCAAAGAAAGAAAGACACACAAATGACAGATACCTTGTCAGCAGGGGTCAGTTTGGTCCAAGGTTTATCAGCTCTCCGATCATAATCGTGGGCATCTGTTACCTCCACATATTCATTAAACCTCAGAATCTTCCTGGCAAGTAGTTCAGCCACAGTTGGCCTTTGACTGAGCTGAAAGAAACGGAGCCTCTTAGTTCTCTATGCCAGGAGTTAGGAATCAATCATGCACTCAAACTGCCTCTAATCCAGTGCTTCTGCCTTTCACTGCATATTGGAATCACCTGGGGACCTTTAAACGTGGCTGACCCCTGGGTCTATCTTCAGAGACTTGGGGTATCAGTTTTTTTTTTAAGCTCCATAATGCACAGCCAAGATTGAGAAGCACTGCTATAAACCAGTGTAATCAGTATAACCAGTGCGTCTCAAACTTTAATATGCATACAAACCATGTGGGGATCTGGTTAAAGTGTAGAATCTGATTAAGCAGATCTGGGGTGGGGCCTGAGACTGCAGCTCTTACAGGCTCCCAGGTGATGCCAATGTTTCTGGTCTGTGGACCACATTTTGGGTAGCAGAAGTGTCAGGGCTTTAAGTTCATATCTAATAATTGTAAAGTGAACACATTTAATATGCAAGCAGTATCTAGTGTGGGTAATATTAAGGGTGAATTTCCTTTCAACATGGATAATGCCCAAGATACCAGATTCTGTAACAAATTATGATTTAAGGTTCAACAATCAGGTAACTTGTTCAACCTGAAGGCATTAAGTCCAGCCACAGCCTCTAGGCACCCTCACTCTATCAAGGATAATTCCTCTGGTCCTGGGGAAGGGGAGAAGTGGGAGAAATTCAGGAAGAAAATGTCTAGATTCCTTGCTGTCCTGGGAATTCTTATACATTTCAAGAAATAACTAGAGAAACTCAGACCAACTCCAAGAACCTACAGGAAGTAATTACTATTATGGAGGGAGGGAAAGGAAAAAGGGTTTAATCCCAGAGTTGAAGGATTTACCCAAGTCTGGTACAGAACAGATTCTACCCTAATTGATCTGGGACCAATGAGAAAATCCTAGTTGTTTTTTTCATATTTTTCAGGTATTACTAAGGGTAAGGTTAGTTCTTTCCCTGATTAGAAAACAATCAGTTTGCCTTGCAAAACTGAATGCTCCACAGCCTCCTGCTACCATCTCATACTTCAAGAGATGTTAAGAATCTACAACAAAACCCCTGGTCTACCAAATAAAAGGTCAAAACTTGTCCAAGTATTTACTGAGCACCTTCTTGTGCAGGTTTTTCTAAACAGTAAAAATGAAAAAAAAAGTTCTTATAATGTTATATTGTTTTCTATATTTTCATCATGTGTTGTATTTTCATATCAATCTATAGCAATTCAAGTCAAATTCATTTCTTTCCAAACAGGTCAAATACAAGACATGCAGTCAGTGGACAGACTGAGATCGAGTACTCAGGCAATGTACCTTTCTAGTAAGTCGACGCTTAATCTCTCGTTTTTCTGCCTGACGATCAGCTTCATTTTTAGCTACAGTTGACAGAAACAAAGATTATTACTTCAAAATGGTAATTTGCATATCAAACTTTTCAATAATTACATGGCAAATATTCCTTACAGGCTCCACATCAGAATGAAATACTAACTTTGGGAATCGCTAATCAAGACAATTTTCTTGTCAACTGGCGTAGTCAAACACTTAAGAGCATGGGTCAGCTAACTATGGTACCAAATCAAGCCAGCTGCCTGTATTTTTCGTGCCCATAGCTAAGAATGATCTTTACATTTTTAAATGGTTACATTTTGAATGGTTTGATAAGTACTTACATAATAGTTTCCTTTTGCTTTTTGGCCTGCAAAGCTGAAAATATTTACTATGTGTCCTTTAAGAAAACCCTTGCATATCTTTGCTCAAGAGTAACCATTAACAATGGAGAAAGGAGATCATACTAAGTTTCATGTCATATGTCTATAATGGTTCCCATACTTTAAAATGTACTTAGTGACTAAGCTGTGCGTATTCAAACAGTGATGAGAAAACAGGGGATGGGCTGGTCAAGCTGAGTAACCCTATGAAGCTTAATCCTCTTCAGTGTGGAGGGTTCTAAAAAAAATTAATTTACTTTTAACTGAAGTACAGTTGATTTACAATATTAAGGTGGAGGTTTTCAAGGACAAATTTCACTCTATAATCTATAAAAATAAATCTATACTAGATTAGAATGCTACTTCAGAAAGTCGACTATATAAACAGAAAGCAAATTAATTGCATTACATATTTTGACTTCAGAGGTATGAAAGTCTTAAGAGATGAAAAAGCTGCACTTGGGACTTGCTTTGGGCACGAACCCTTAGACTCCACTAGCAACAGGAAGGTCCACTCCAAATGCACAACCCCCTCAAAAAGCCCAAGGTAGGCTCAAGATACGGTGAGAACATTAAAACACAATTTTCTGGAGTATCCCAGTACACTAAACAATACATAATGATATCTTGTAAAGGAAGCTTGGAAGAACTTTGTTTCTTCAGGGAAAAAAGTATGAATAGTCCTTCCTTGGCTAGAATATTCTCTCCTCAGCCCTTGTAGAAAAATGCTTCTCTTTTCTGTTATGCATGTTAAAGTCAGATATACAAAGAAAATCTATACAACTTCATTTCCATGGCTGGACTCACGTTGTAGTATGTTTCGTTGTTCTAGTTCTTCTGGTGTTGGTCTTTGACTCAGTCGTCTAAAAGGGAGATAAGATTATTTCTACATTAAACCTCCTAATATTGTTTATAAAGATCTGTTTGGTCTTAGTTTATATTAGCCCCTACTCTAGAAAGAAATCAATACATTTTCAAACTTTTGATATTTCACTTTTTATCTGATTCATTGTTTATGAAACAATTTTCATAATGAAAGTGTTAATACAGAAATTACAACGTAAAAAGGAATTGTACATGCAAACAGGAGGCTGGGATTCTAGTTCTAGCTCTGACACTTAACAAGCCCTATCACCGCAAAAAAGCTCAGTCAGACCTCGAGTGTACTCATGTGTAAAATGAAGATTTGAACGGGACTGGTGGCTCCCAAACAGATTTCCTCCTTCAGCATATCTGTTAACAAAGATCCTCAAGGATACTAACAAAAATTCTAATTCAGGAAACCAGGATGAGAACTAAGATGATACATATGTATATTTACAATGCTTCCTGTATGACTCTGATGTCCTGTCTTGATTTTTAAACCAGTAGTTTAGGAACCACTGGAATTAAAGATTGTCTTTTTTGAAGTGATATTCTGTAAATCTATGATTTTAATTTCTGTCCTCTTTGAAATATCTGAAGCTTCTCATCTCATCCACAGTTATGAGATGTTATTCAATAATGACAACTTGTCATTTCTGCAATCAGAAAGTTCTTCATTTCTTAGCTTTAATGCATCCTCAGACAGTGTTTGAACTACATGCTAGTAACTCTTTAGTTGCATGGAAAACTCCCAGTCCCATTTTATATACAGTTTACAAATTTATGTATTTCAAAGTCACTCAGTACAAGACCTTCTTTCTTCAATGTTCATAAAACAAACAAACAAAACCACACATAACAAAAAAACCCCACAAAAACAGAAAACAACCCTACAG